GGCCGGGGTGGGGGAGGAGTTAGGACCCAGGGCTGCCCAGGTGAGCAAACAGGTCGAGCGCGGGGCGAGCAGGGCCCGGTGCCGAGGAGCCGGGCGGGTGGAGGGGAAGGAGTCGAAGCCTTTCCTGGCCTGAGTCGGTGAGGGGCCCGAAAGTTCCGTGCTAGGTGACCTCCAAAGAAAAGATGTTTTGTTTGGACCTATCAGCCACCTACCTGATTTCATGCAATTCCCTTTTTCAGGCACACAGATCTGACTTCAGCTGTGAGTCAACATTACTCAGACTTTCAAAAGCTGGGCTAATGGATGTTCAGGTGAAACTTAAAAACCCACAAGTAGTATTTATAATTAGTTGATTTATATTTTAAAGGCCGGGGGACCTTTGCCGTCATCTTTTTATTCTACAGATGAGGAAAAAGATTCAAAGGGAGAAGGTACCTAATGAAAGTCTCTGAGCCGTTTTATGATTGACTGGGAAACTAACAATAATTCTCCTTTCCCCTTAGTGTGTTTTGCAGCTTCTGTAATTAACACATAACCGTAGGAAACAGCTTTTGCTTAGGTCCTTTTTAATTTTCACACGACCATATTTTTAAAGGTGTAATAGCTATTTTCTATGACACATAAACCAGTTTCTGTAAAAAATATATTTTATCCATTATGCTACATAACATCCTTGCAAGGGGATTATCATCTGTTTTACACACCAGTAAAACAAGACTACAGCAAGACTACCCCAGCTGAAATAACTCCACTGCCTCTCAACTAGTGAGAAAGTCAGCATGGAGATCACAGCCACCGGGCTTCTGAAGCCCCTGCCTACCGTGGCATACTTCCTCAGTAAGTTCATGGGACTCTCCGTGTTTAAATCATCTGTGCCTAGGAAAATACCTAGACCAGGCATTTCCAAAGGACTCTTTGCAGCCTCTACAATGTGGTGACCATAGCACCAATAATGGTTGGAATCAGTATTTAGGAGCTAAGGGAGAGGAACAAATTGAACTAGATTGTAAACTCAGCCTAAAGCCTTTATAATACCACTTCATACTCAGTGCCTAGCACATAATAGGCACTCAAGTACTGAATGACTAGATAACAGATGGATGGACATCTGTGTGAACTAGAGAAAGAAAATGCTGAGGAAGCACATATTTGTGGGGAAATTAGTTCACTAGTTCAGCACATGTGAACAGTGCTGAGGACAGGTAGACTATCCTTGGCTAGACTTTGTGGTGACCATTATGCTGATGAAGAGGCCTTTCGCGGTCCTAAGGTTGGGTCCAAGGAGAGCATTGCAAACCTGATGTTGGCATAGTGAATGCATATTGTCTAAGCAAAGGTTGACCTTATAAGAATTTAGGCTGTTGTTCTAAATGGGATAATGGCCCCCAATATGGGAGGGGGTTAAAAAAAACAAAACACACTTAGATCTAATCTTACAGTTTTAAATCTGTTTGCAATGCTCCAAATCTTAACCTTACCAAAAAACAAACCAAAAGCAAAACCACACACCCAACTATTCCTCAATATTTACTTTCACGGCAAGGCATAAGGGGATTAGGAAAAAATAAGTCTAGAAAGGCTGGAAATCTATCAATCTCAGCTCATCTGGAGACTGACCAACTAGGCTAAAGTCATAGTGAACATTATCTTAAAGGGTTAGGAGAGTTTTGTTCTGATTTTTAAGAGTCGTTGGCAGAACATGCTGTCCCTGGGCTTTTGGTTCAAGCTATATAATTTATCTTAGTTAACTGAGTAATAAATATAATTCAATTCCAGCTATAGCCAGTTCTTCCAATTACTATCTGAAGTTAATTTGTAATAGTTCCTTCTGAGGAATATTAGATAGGATATCAGATTTTAAAAAAATTCCCTAGTTGTTCAAAGGTTTTTTCCCTTGACATTTCAGTTTCTTTGTTTTGCTCTAGGTACAGCGCTTGTACTTTTTTCTTAAAATGTGTTAAATTAGAGAGAAAAATTACTGGCATTCATTTCTAGTAAAGTTATTTCCAAGAACACGTCAGAAAATATGTTATAATCCTCATGATTGCATTATCATGCTCCTTTATGACATTTTTCTTCATGAATTCAAGATATATTTACATTCAAATTATAACATTCCATAGAACAGTGTTACCTCCTCTGAATCAAGAGCTACACTGAAATTAGGTTTTAAAAGTTTTTAAAGGATGTTTTTTAAGGAAAATAAAAGCACAAAGGTGTTAAAAGTGCTACATCTAAAAAGCATATTACTCAAAATTCTCTAGTTTGATTAAATTCTTAACAAGCATTCCTACTACAATTTATGTGACTAATACAAAATGTACAATATGAACTAAAGTGTATTTTTTTCTAACAGATCAATAGTTATGGTACATCAGCATGATTTCTATTTAGGTAATCCGTAACTATAGTCTGTTAACCAATCATAGTCATTTTTTCAGTTGTAACTAGTTTTCTTTCCTTCCAGTTAGTAAACTTATAATTTCTATATCTACCAATAAAACTTTTTAATGTGAAAAATTATTTGTCAAATGTTACAGCAGTCTTAGGTAAGTTGTAGAAAACGTGAGTAAATTAGAACAGTTGATCAACATAAGTTTCATACATTTCAAAAGAGTAGAACCAATAAAAATACCAACAGTGTTGCTTAAATGTATTCATTCCACCTAATTTAAAGTGAAAGAATAATTCAGATTTACTGTCTTTAAAGTATCATTAGACCATCATAAAAATAGTTAAGAAATATATAGCTGGGTGTTGGGGAGGGGGTTGCTTCAAGGCTCTGCAAAAAAATGCTTTTTTCAGATTCTGTTTCTTAGAAATTGGAAAGCCAGAAAAAAAGAATGTAGTTTATATTGATGTGTAACGATTGAAACTAAGTTACAAAATCTAAAGTTGTTTAATAAAATTAGGACTACAAATGTTCCTTTAAGCCTCTATTAATACAAACAGAAAATTAGTTACATTCATAGGCCAATGCAAGGTCATGAAAGTTAAACTAATTTGCATAGGCTCAGCAGACACCTTTTCCTCCATATGGGAAGTTGAAACTTGCCCTTAATATCAGAAAGTTGGAGCACATTATCCCATATATAAGGCTTAAAGGGTCTTTGAATCATGACATTGGAAAGACTTAGTCATATACTTCTCTCTGTACAGGTAATGAAATAGAGGCATACCTCAGAAATATTGTGGGTTTGGTTCCAGACCACCAAAATAAAGCAAATATTGCAATAAGGGGAGTCAAGAGTGTTTTGGTTTCCCAGGGTACATAAAAGTTATGTTTACACTGCACTGTAGTCTATTAAGTGTGCAATAGCATTATACCTTAAGAAACAATGTAAGTACCTTAACTAAAAGGTACTTTATTGCTAAAAAATGCTAACCATTCTCTGAGTCTTCATCAAGTTGAAATCTTTTTGCTGGTGGAGGGTCTAGTAAAAACATCACAATAACTGCAACGAACAATAAAGCAAAGAGCAATAAAGTGAGGCTATGCCTAGTTTGGTGTGTTAAAAGGACTTGCTACCAGGAGTAAAATCTACCACCTAAATAAAGTCCATAGTCTCTTCAATTAAGTTCGCTCATTCAACTGGTTTCAGGGTAGTTACATTTTATCCCAGGCTGTGAAGCTTCTAAATTTGTTAGAATCTAACCATGGAAAAGAAATGTAATTGAACAGATCACGCAGCAAACTGGTTTATATACAACAGACTTCTGAGTTAACTGAATTAAACTGAGTTCAATTCCAGCTGCAGCCAGTTCCCCCAAGTATTATCTGAAATTAATTTACAATAGTTTCTTCTAAGTTATATTCAGTATATACATTTTAATTCTCTAGTTCTGTTGCCCGGAGACAATGAGACCTAGGTTCTTGTCTTCTTGAGGGAAAATTTTCAATCAAGAGACAAAGCGTAGCCTGGGCTGCGTGGCTCAGTTTACAGAAGACAGGATTTACTAGGTGGCTGCGAACTGCTGTTTACCTTGTCTCAGTTTCCCTATTCTGCTCGTCCTGGAATGTTCCTACCTTGTACTATGCTCTAACAGTGCGACATTTTTTTTCCCCCATGAAATTTCAGTTTTGCCTCAAGTATAGCACTTGTAGGTTTTTCTTCTATTTTGTTGAACTGGAGAGACTACTGCGGTTACATTTTAAGTAAAGGAAGTTATTTCCAATTAACACTTCAGAAAGTAAGTTATTTTCTTCGTGGATTTGGGATCCACAAAAATATCAAATGCGTGGCAAAACTGGGAGCGCTTAGGTTATTCACAAAACTGAACTCTGGCTACAGGAATGCCGCGGATCCTCTCCCAGTCAACTCCATCCTTAATTACGAATCAAGGCGGCACCGCAAGCTGCGGCCTAGCACAGGGTGACGCGTAGAGTCCGTTGAAAAAGACACTTCCCACTTCAGCGCAGCAAAAACAGGCAGCTCCAGGAAACTGCAGTTGGCGCCCACGTTTCAAGGCCAGGGGCGCACCTGCGAGGCAGCAGAGGCTCCAGAAAGGGAACCCGGCGCGATTCTGAACAGTGACGCGGCAGGAAGCGTTCGCCGCGGGGAAACGCCCCACCTCCCACGCACACCCACCTCCTCCTACACCGCGGGCCGAATGGAGCCCCGCACACCGGAAACGAAACCGGAGGAAGCGCCACGTCGGAGGCGTGGGCTGACGTAAGCGCGACTACGTCAGGGGCCGTCCTCCGGCGAGGGGTGGTCCCGGGGTCGGGAGGGGAGGCGGAGAGGAGGCGGGGCTTGGGTCTGGTTGAGGATTTGGTGGGGCTGTGGGTTTAGACCGAGGGGACTACGGGTCGGCGTTGGGCTCAGTGGGCTCGAAACAAAGGACTATCCGGTAGGCGCTCGGCGCGGCGCCTTCGGCCGGGTACCCAGCGG